CCCGCTCCCCCAGCGCTGCCGGTGCCCCCACTCCTGATCCACAGCCCCCCCGCTCCCCCAGCCCTGCCCCCCCCAGCCCTGCCGGTGCCCCCACTCCTGACCCACAGCCCCCGTTCCCCCACCCTGCCCCCCAGCCCTGCTGGTGCCCCCCTCCCACCCGCGCCCCCGCTCCCCCAGCGCTGCCGGTGCCCCCACTCCTGATCCACAGCCCCCCCGCTCCCCCAGCCCTGCCCCCCCCAGCCCTGCCGGTGCCCCCACTCCCGAACCGCAGCCCCCCGTTCACCCAGCCCTGCCGGCGCCCCCCGTTCGGGGGTTCGGGCTGGAGCTGGAGCCCGGGGGGGGGGAGCCCGGGAGGAGGGGCTCGGGGAGCCTGGGGGGGGGGCTCGGAAGGGGCGGGGGGCGGAGCCCGGGGGGAGGACCCGGGGGGCGGAGTCTGGGGCCCGGGGAGGTTCGGGCTGGAGCCCGGGGAAGGGGGGGGAGCCCGGGGGGGGCTCGGAAGGGGCGGGGCGCGGAGCCCGGGGGGGGGAGGCGGGGCTCGGGGAGCCTGGGGGGGGCGGGGAGCCGGAGTCCGGAGCCCGGGGGGGGCTCGGAAGGGGCGGGGGCGGAGCCCGGGGGGAAGTCCGGGGAGGCGGGGCTCGGGGGGGGCTCGGGGAGCCTGGGGGGGCGGGGAGTCCGGAGCCCGGGGGGGCTCGGAAGGGGCGGGGGGCGGAGCCCGGGGGAGAGGGGGAGCCCGGGGGGGGGCGGGGCTCGGGGGGGGCTCGGGGAGCCCGGGGGGGCGGGGGCCGGTCGGGGGGGGGCTCGGGGGCGGGTGCTGGAGCCCGGGGGGAGTCCGGGAGGCGGGGCTCGGGGAGCCCGGGGGGGCGGGGAGTCCGGAGCCCGGGGGGGCTCGGAAGGGGCGGGGCGCGGAGCCCGGGGGGGGCCCGGGGGCGGAGTCTGGGGCCCGGGGAGGTTCGGGCTGGAGCCCGGGGGCGGGGAGCCTGGGGGAAGGGGGGAGTCCGGGGGGGGCTCGGAGGGGCGGGGCGCGGAGCCGGGGGGGGAGTCCGGGGGCGGGGCTCGGGGGGCGGGGAGCCGGGGGGGGGGGGGGGGCTCGGGGGGGCTCGGGGAGCCCGGGGGGGCTCGGAAGGGGCGGGGCGCGGAGCCCGGGGGGGGCGCTCACCTGGCTCGGGCCGGCCCCCTGCACCTGCCCGTAGCCGCCCCAGCCCGCGAGCGGCGCCGGGCGGGGCAGGTCCCGCGGGGGCCCGGCGCGGCAGCCGGCGGGGAAGAGCGAGCCCGGGAACGCCATGGGCCGCCGCCAGGGGGGGCTCGCGGCCCGAGTCGCGGCTCCGCCAATCAGCGCGCGAGCCGGACCGGCGGCGGGGCCCGTGGAGCGGCGGGGGCGGCGAGAGCGGCGCCGCTGGGGCCGGCGCGGACCCGCCACGGCGCCCCCTGGCGGCCGGCGGGGAGCCCCGCCCCGGCACGAGGGCAGGCCCGGCTGGGCGGGGTCAGGCGCTCCCCGGGCTTGTTGGGTCCGCCGGCCGGGAGGCGCTCCGGGGGGGCTGGGGGGGGCGCTCCCGGGGGGGGAGATCGGGGGGGTCGCTCCCGGAGAGAGATGGGGGGGGAGATCGGGGGGGGGGTTGCTCCCTGTGGGGGGGGGGGATCGGGGGGGAGGTCGCTCCCTGTGGGGGGAAGATCGGGGGAGTAGGTCCCGGGAGAGATGGGGGGAGACCGGGGGGGTTGCCCCCCGTGGGGGGGGAGATCGGGGGGGTCGCTCCCTGGGGGGGGGAGATCGGGGGGGTCGGTCCCGGGAGAGATGGGGGGAGATCGGGGGGGGTTGCTCCCTGGGGGGGGAGATCGGGGGGGGGGGGGGAGATCGGGGGGTCGCTCCCTGGGGGGGGGGGGAGATCGGGGGGTTGGTCCCGGGAGAGATGGGGGGAGATCGGGGGGGGGTTGCTCCCTGTGGGGGGGAGATCGGGGGGTCGCTCCCGGAGAGAGATGGGGGGAGATCGGGGGGTCGCTCCCTGTGGGGGGGGGAGATCGGGGGGTCGCTCCCGGGGGGGGGGGAGATCGGGGGGTCGCTCCTGGGGGGGTCGCTCCCTGTGGGGGGGGAGATCGGGGGGGTTGGTCCCGGGAGAGATGGGGGGAGATCGGGGGGGGTTGCTCCCTGTGGGGGGGGAGATCGGGGGGGTCGGTCCCGGGAGAGATGGGGGGAGACCGGGGGGGGTTGCTCCCTGTGGGGGGGGGGGAGATCGGGGGGGTCGCTCCCTGTGGGGGGGAGATCGGGGGGGGTCGGTCCCGGGAGAGATGGGGGGAGACCGGGGGGGGTTGCTCCCTGTGGGGGGGTGAGATCGGGGGGGTCGGTCCCGGGGAGAGATGGGGGCACACTGGGGGGGGTCGCTCCCGGGGGGGGGAAGATCGGGGGGGGGTCGCTCCCCGGGCTGGGGGGATGGGGGGGTCTTTTTTGTGTTTAAGATCAGCAAGGATTTCACTGTGAAGCCAAGCTGGTCGCCTGCCATATTTACTATTCTTTCGACTCATCGGGATGGTTTGTCCCTGTAACCTCAACAGGGATTCCTTGAAATACAGCCAGCTCTCCTGGACTCCTTCCCCCTCCTGTTATTCTCCCAGGGGATCCTGCCCATCCGATCCCGGAGGGAGTCACACCATCGTTTGACCTGGGGCTTGGTCCTTTGGGGTCAGGGGAACCTTTTCTTTTCAATGATGAAATAAGATTTTCAGAGTTTATCATCCTCTGTTTGACGTGTGTGTCTGGATGGAGGCCGGAGGCTGGTACTTTAAGGGAACTGCGTTGTGTGGACGTCTGAGCACCCAGGGAGGGGCTAGAGAAGCTGGTTTGGGCTGGCTGGGTAAATCCCAGTATTGGAATATCCCCCAGCGTTTGGGGTTTGTCTGATCCGCTCTGTTTGCGGATCACCCTGACTGAGTGACCTCAGCTGGCTCCCACGGGCAGCACCATCACACCCCACACCACAACCCCCTGTTGCAGCCCTGAGCCCTCTCCCAAACCTCTCATCCCCGGACCCACCCCAGAGCCCACACCCCCAGCTGGAGCCCGCACCCCCTCCTGCACTCCAAACCCCTCGGCCCTAGCCCAGAGCCCCGTCCTGCACCCCAAACCTCTCATCCCCGGACCCACCCTGCAGCCCAGACCCTCAGCCGGAGCCCTCCCACCCTCCTGCCCTCCAAACCCCTCGGGCCCAGCCCAGAGCCCCCTGGTTGAAGGACCCAGTGTGTTAGGTGTGGGGAGTACGTCAGGCCTGATGCGCGGCGGACACAGGGTAGTGAACCACTTGTGGGCCTCCACAGCGGGGACTGAGCCGTAGCCACAGGCCCCTGCCCAGGCACCGCTCCCTGAGCGGGGATGGGGGTAATGGGGCGTGGTCAGGTTCTGGGGCTGTGGAACCTCTTACCCTGTGACCGTGAGCACCTCTCACTGCTGTGCCACTGTGGCTCTGTCTGGCTTTGGATCCCGGAGCCTGCCGCAAGACCAGGTTCCCACTGGCCTCCACCAGCCGGCGTTAACAGCTGAGGGGATCCACGCTTTCGCCAGCCCGAGTTTCCCCCAAAACGTGTGGTCTAAAATGGCCAGCCCTCTCCTGGAACAATCAGAGGGAAACTAAGGTTCATTGGCCCTGTAAGGAGTCAATATTCAGCAGTTTATTAGTTTAACAGAGCTACCAAACAGTTCAGTTCAAACACAGCACTGAGCTGGTTTGGATTCAAAACAAAACAAAAGAAGACAGGATTTGAAGTGAATTCAAGTATAAGAGTTAAAGTTACCAGCAAATAAAAGTGAAAACATGCATCTGAAAGTCTGAAACGTAACCTAGCAAGTTTTGGTTCCAGGCTTTGTTTAAGCTGGTCTTCTCCCCCCATCTTCCAGCAAGATGGTGATGGACCCACTCCTCAGGCCGGATCTCTCCCAGGAGACCAAAGGTGCTGTGGCCTTTGTCTTCTTAGGTGAAAGAGAGAGAACTGGGGGTTCTCTGCCTCTTGCTTTTATCGTTCAGTGAACCTTTGAAGTGGATTCTTCTGCAGGTTACCCTCAAAGTAAAGTTTATTCAAGCTGTGAGGAAGGCGACATGGAGTGTGGTGGGGAAGGGAGCTCTGGACTATTTCTTCCCTTACTTGAGTTTGCTGAAATGCAGATTGTTCCATTCCCAGCCCTCTCCTCCTCCTGCTGTCTGGAAGACCTTGTTCACTACATGTGTAAATGGTGGTAAACACACATTCCTTTGCTGGGGATAGGCTTGTTTGACAACCTTTGGCCTTGGCAGGGCTGCCCATTTTGAACACGTGCTAATAACATTGTACAGAGGTTTCAGAGGAACAGCCGTGTTAGTCTGTATCCGCAAAAAGAAAAGGAGTACTTGTGGCACCTTAGAGACTAACCAATTTATTTGAGCATGAGCTTTCGTGAGCTACAGCTCACTTCATCAGATGTTTACCGTGGAAACTGCAGCAGACTTTATATACACACAGAGAATATGAATTCATGACTTTACATGCACTGGTGCTACCGACATTTCTCCATGATGTTATTGACCGCCAGGTTATTAGTTTTCAGATGATGCCCCCATGGTATATGTCATACACAGATGATCACAGTGGTGTGTAGGGTGTGAATGTGTTGGGGACACTGGGGCATGGCCACTAGGTAACTCGAGGGGATGGAAGACCACGAGTGTCGATGAAGCCCCCTCGCACTAGGCCCAGGTGTCCTTGGCCCCCCCTCCTGCCTGGAGGCACTCGCAGCAGCTCTGCGTACTAGGCCCAAGTGTCCTTGCCCCCCCCCCCGCCTGGAGGCACTCGCAGCAGTTATGCTAAGAATCTGCAACAATATGTTGCAGAGTCAGACTGCCTGAAACTAAGCAAGGCCAAACAGGGGAGATATGGAAGAACAATGCTGAATAAAGCAGCTTTATGTATAGTTTAACAAATGATACAGAGAATCAGGGAACTAGCTGGGAACTGGATTGGCTGGCTATATGGATACTTGGGGCAGCTTGCTATTGGATAAGTATGCTGGGAAAAAGGATGTATAAAAGCCTGTGTAACTTCCTGCTCTGTGTGCAGGATTTGAGATTTTATTCTCCCTGTACCTTTTTGCAGCTGCAAATAAACTTTTCTGCTTCTCCACCCCGTTGTGATTATTGGGTGTAGCACACCGGGTAACGAACCAACTCAAGCTGTTGTTCAGCCTCTCGGCACTGGGTGCCGGCAACAAATGCAAGGGTGTTTTGGGTCATAGGAGTTAAATAGGATGTTAAACTGCATGATAGTGTTCAGCCACGCGGTGGTGCTGTGTATATAATACCTTATTTAAATGATCCTCAGCCATACCTGGCGGAGCTTTAAAGGATCTCATGACGAACACAGCTGGTCTATAAGCAAGCTCTGTCACCAGCCGGTATCGGGCACAGAGGAACATGGCGTGGTGTTGGAAGTAAACTAAGAACAGAAACAAAGGTTGCAGGATTTCATCAACATGCCACTTTTCAGTGCTCCAGAACTTCAGCTTTGACAAACCTTCCCAGTGGACAGACTGGATGCAATATATTGCAAGATTTTGAACTGCAAACGAACTCCACAAAAACGCTGAAGATATACAGACATCTTTTTAAATTTATGCTCTGGGGAAGCCTGCAAAGGACATCTTTAAATCCTTTGACTTTCCTGAAGACAGTCACAAAGATGACTATAAAAAGGTTCTGGCTATGTTTGATTCATACTTTATACCTCAGAGAAATGTGGTTTATGAAAGATCATGTTTTCACCACAGACTTCAAGGAGCAAGGGGAAATGCTGACTGTTTTATAAGAGCTCTGCGTGCATTGGCTGAAAACTCTGATTTGGGAAAAACAAAACATGAAAATATCAGAGACAGGCTGGTTACTGGGTTAACAGATAAAAACTTTTCACAGCAGCTATAGCTGAACAGAGATTTAACCCTACACACAGCTGTACAGATAGCAAAGCAGGCTGAACTAGTCCAGCAACAGAACGAAAGGCAGGAGCGACTTGAAAAACCGGAAACTAGCTTTAAAGCTATAAAAAGCACTTCAGTGTTAAAAGTTATTATAAACCTCCCAAGGCAAGGAGAGAGAACTCCCTGGCTAAGAGGAACAAATTCCAGCCTATGTGCAGAAGGGATGGAAAACATCATATCCCAAGAGATGAGGCATGTCCAGCCAGAGGCACACAGTGTAATCAATGCATGAAATATGGACATTCTGGAGTTGTTGGCTGCACCAAAGCAGTCAGGGAGTTGGCTGGCATTACCAGCAATCAAGAGCTGTTTCTGGGATCTGTCACTTGTGATGACACCGCACCTGCCTGGAGACTGAACCTGAATATTCCTGGCAAGACTATTGACTTTTAAAGTGACTCAGGAGCTGATGTCACAGTCCTCTGAGAAGGGACATACAATCACCTTCAACCCCTCCCAGAGCTGACAATCACCTGGCCCAGCTCTGACTAGCCCTGGAGGTGTTCTGAAGTGCATGGGCCAGTTCATCTTAGAGACAAAGGCTGCGCATTCACTGTGCATGTGGTCAAAGGATCGAAGACCAACAACCTTCTCAGCCACAGCGTGGCAACCATGATGGACCTAGTGAGAAAGGTGGAAGAACTCGATGGACTATTTGGTGATGTTGGACTTTTGAAAGGAGACCCAGTACAAATCACCTCTAAGAGACAATGCTGAACCACACAGTGTACAAACGTCCCTACCCGAGAGACCTTGGAAGAGATTAGCTGTGGATTTATTCAAGTTCAGAGGACATCACTATCTGGTCATAGCGGCCTGTTTCTCCAGGTGTATGGAGATAATGTACTTGACAGACATAACGTGTCGCAGGGTTACTGACACTGAAGTGCACTTGTGCTCATTTGATATTCCAGAACAACCAGTGACGAGCAGAGGGCCACAGTGCCCTGCAGCAGGATTTAAGTTATTTGGAATAAACTAGGGTTTTTATCCTGTTACTAGTTTCAGAGGAACAGCCGTGTTAGTCTGTATTCTCAAAAAGAAAAGGAGTACTTGTGGCACCTTAGAGACTAACCAATTTATTTGAAACAAACCAGCCACAGTCACTCACTGTAACTAGTGGACAGCCTGACGAGCGAGCCACCATGTGTTCGAGTCGTGGAATTAGAGATGATCGTGTAACTACGGTAAAGGGGAGGACCGTAGAGCTCAAAGGGGGAGATGTGAGGGGATGCTAAACTGCATCGTACTGTCTGGTCAATAGGCAGCGGTGTGTATCACACCTTATTGAAGCTACCCTCAGCGATCCATGGCAGAGCAAGGTACCTGATGCTGAACACAGCTGGTGTAGAAGCAAGCTCTGTAGCTGGCCCGTGTCTGGTACAGAAGAACATGTCAGGGAGGGAGGGCAGCTGTGCTCACAGCCCCAGGGGAAGGCTGCTGAGTGTCGTTTCGCTGAGGTGGGTTGCTCCAGGCTCCAGTGCCTTGTGCAGTGACTCCAGAGGGAACGGGGCAGGGAGGGTCCCGGGATGGACAGCTCACCTGGGTCCCCTGTATGGCATCAGCTCACAATAGGTGACCTCTGCAGAGAGACCTGAATGAGTTAGCAAAGGGTCCTGGGACCCCTTGCCCAACACTGGGGTGAGGGCACCAGGTCTGCTTATAGAGGGGCCCCTCGCTTGGTGCGGAGATGCGGCCCCTCTGGGGTGGGGCGCAGGGGCTGTTTACACAGGGACCCCTCGCCCGGTGCAGAGATGCGGCCCCTCTGGGGTGGGGCGCAGGGGCTGTTTATACAGGGACCCCTCACCCAGCCGCCTCTGGTGTTTAATAACCACACAGCAACGCTGAACCACAGCTCCCCCCGCCTGCCCCCATGGGGTGACTTGCTGGGGCTGCCTCCCACCAGGCCTGTGTGTGGGGAAGGAGGGGTCTGTCAGGGCCATGGCGGTGAGTGTCCCTACCCCCAGGTGGTGTGGGGTCATTCGGATGGTGTGCAGAGCTCCCGCTGGTAACGCGTGGCGAGGGGGCTCCCCTCTCAGGCCCTGGGTGCCCGGAGACAGACACGGCGCTGGAGCCCAAGCCCCAGGGCACGGCTGCCCTCGGGGGATGGTGCCCAGCAGGGCCACAGGAAACCAGCGAATCTCCTGCAAGGGGACTCTGGGGGCAGTCAGCGTGACCCAGGCCACTGGCCAGGCTCTCCCCCCGGCGGACACTCGTCTCCGGGTGCCCCCACCAGGCCGGTCCACCGGGGCCAGAAGCGCCACTTACCTTCTGCTGGCTCTGGGGGGCTCTGGGCTGCGGGCTGGGGACCTGAGGCAGAGGAGCCATGGTTAGCAGGACAGGCGCGCCAGGGAAAGGCCCCCCACACCCTGCCTCCCTCTGGGTCTGCCCCTCCCCAGGGCCATGCTCCCCCAACAAGCCCCCACCTGGGGCCCACTGCTGCGGGAGAAGCACACACTGCCATGCCAGCTGCTCCCACTCCAGCCCCCCGCGCTCACAGGGCCTGGGTCCCCGCACAGCAGGGGAAGCGGGATCCCCCTCCAACACCCCGGAAGCTGCTGTTTGCCCTGAGTCACCCAGCCCAAAGCTCAGAGGCTCAGCTCCATGCCAGCGTCTGCCAGCCCTGGCCTAGCGAGGGGCGCAGAGAGCGCATGGCTGGGTCGGGAGGGGCATGCCTGGTCCATGTGGGCCATCGCTGGTAGAGCCATGGGAGGGGTGTGCAGGGCACAGGGCCGGTGCCAGGTCAGCACACACCCTGGTCTGGGGCCGCAGGGCTGGGCTGGGGGTTGGTGCACAGGAGCACAGGGCTGCGGGGCTGGGTGGGGAACCAGCCCTGTGCAGAATGGCGTGGAGCAGGGATAGTCTGGGATCCTTCCCCTGCCCGGCTCGTCCACTCACCTCTCCTGCCGGCCCCAGGGCTGGGGAAGGTCAGATCTGCGTAGGTGCAGCTGTCTGGGTCCTCTGCTGGAGACAGAGGCAGCTGCCTTACAGGGGAGCTGGGCCCAGGCTGGGGCAGGGCCTGGGCAGGAGGCCGCCCATTGGCATGAGCAGGTGGCTGGCAGGGAAAGCAGGTATCGGCCTCACCGGGCTGAGCTCTCCCTACGCTCTCCCTTCCTTCTGGTGAGGAAAAGAGAAAGGAGCATGAACTCCGGGAAGGCACGTGTGTGAGTGTAATGGGGCCAAGAAAGCAGGTGATGAGCATCGAGCTAAAGACACAAAAACTAACAGCCAAAAATTTTGTAAGTAAATCAGAAGCAGGAGGCCTGGCAAACTATTAATTGGGCCACTGGACGCTGGAGGTGCTAAAGGAGACTCAAGGAAGACAAGGCCACTGTGGAGAAGCTGAATGAATTCTTTGCATCAGTCTCCACTGCAGAGGATGAGGGGGATTCCCACACCTGAGCCATTCTTTTTAGGTGACAAATCTGAGGAACTGCCGCAGACTGAGGTGTCATTAGAGGAGGTTTTGGAACAAATGGATATAAATCACCAGGACCAGAGGGGATCACCCAAGAGTTCTGCAGGAACTCAAATGTGAAACTGCAGGACGACTAACTGTGGTATTTAACCGATCATTTAAATCAGCTTCTGTACCAGATGCCTGGTGGATAGCTAAAGTAACAAATTATTTTTAAAAAAGGCTCCAGAGGGGATCCTGGCAATTACAGGCCGGTAAGCCTGACCTCAGTACTGGGCAAGCTGGTTGAAACCTTAGTAAAGAACGGAATGATCAGACACAGAGATTAACGCAGTTTGTTGTGGAAGAGTTAACATGGTTTTTGTAAGGGGAAATCATGCCTCCCCAAGCTATTACAATTCTTTGAGGGGGTCAAACATGTGGACCAGGGTGGACATAGTGTACTTGGACTTTGAGAAAGCCTCTGACAAGGTCCCTCACCAAAAGTTCTTAAGCAAAGTGAGCTGTCATGGGATAAGAGGGAAAGTCTTCTCTGGGATCAGTAACTGGATAAAAGAGAGGAAACAAAGGGTAGGAAAAATGGTCAGTTTTCACAGTGGAGAGAGATAAATAGCGGGGCCCCCCAGGGATCTGTCCTGGGACCCCTGCTGTCCAACATTCATAAATGATCTAGAAAAAGGGGTTAACAGTGAGGTGGCAAAGTTTGCAGATGATACAAAACTACTCAGGATAGTTAAGCCCCAGGCAGACTGTGAAGAGCTACAAAAGCATCTCTCAAACCTGGGTGACTGGGCAACAAAATGGCAGATGAAATTCAGTGTTGATCAATGCAAAGTAATGCACATTGGAAACCATCATCCCAACTAGCCATAGCAAGTGACGGCATCTAAATTAGCTATTACCACTCAAGAAAGATCTTGGAGTCATTGTGGATAGTTCTCTGCAAACATCCACTCAATGCGCAACGGCAGTCAAAACAGTGAACAGAATGCTGGGAATCATTAAGAAGGGGATAGAGAATAAGGCAGAAAATATCATGTTGCCTCAATATAAATCCATGGTACGCCCACAGCTTGAATACTGCGTGCAGATGTGGTCCCCTCATCTCAAAAAAGATCTATTGGAATTGGAAAAGGTTCAGAAAAGGGCAACGAAAATGATGAGGGGTTTGGAACAGCTTCCGTATGAGGAGAGATTAATCAGACTGGGACTTTTCAGCTTGGAAAAGAGACGACTAAGGGGTGATATACGACAGAGGTCTATAAAATCATGACTGGGGTGGAGAAAGTGAACAGGGAAGCGTTATTTACTCCTTTACATAACACTAGAACCAGGCGTACCCAATGAAATTAATAGGCAGCAGGTTTAGAACAAACATAAGGAAATACTTCACACAGTCAACTGGTGGAACTCCTTGCCAGGGGATGTTGTGAAGGCCGAACGTATAGCTGGGTTCGTAAAAGACTAAGTTCCTGGCAGTCCCGGGTTTACAATGGTGCCAGTGGCACCATGGAGCCAGGCCCATGCTCAGAAGGGGTCCCGGCCTGCTCCACTCGCACTGTGCCCTGAGACCCCGCCAGCCCGCTGCCCCCCCCCCCATCACTGCTCCTCTCGGCCTGCCCACCGGCTGGCCAAGGGCTCTTCTACACTCCCTGGCTTCGCCTGTCGGCTCCTCTCTGCCCCCGGCCAGACCCCAGGGCACCTCCAGCTCCGGCCAGTCTCTGCTTCCCACCGCCTGTGGGGCCCCACCTGTCTCCCCGGCGCTGAGCTTCCTGGGACTGGGGCAGAAGCCTGGCCAGTCTCAGCTGGGGGGACAATGCAGGGGGCTTGGCTGGGTCCCTCCAGGCAAGGCGTCTTGAGGGGGCCCGGCTGGGGCAGGTCCTGGCCTGGCTGATCGCACCACTCCCGAGGGTCCGGAGCGATTCCCCGCCCCCGGACCAGCCCTGGCTGTGCTGCTGGCTCAGCCCGGCTGACACAGTCTCCTCCCAGAGGGCCGGGGAGTGCGGCCGGGAGGCAGGGCGTGGGGGAAGGGGTCTCTTAGGGGTCTGGGGGGGGTGTGCTGGGCTGTGAGGGGGCAGGGAAGATGTGCTGTTGGGGCACTAGGGATTGGGGGTTCTGTGGGGGTGCTGGGCACTTGTGGTGGGGCTGTGGGTGGGGAGGGTGCTGGGCAGGGCTGGTGTTCTGCAGGGTGCTGTGCATTTGTGGAGGAGGCCTGGGGGGCACTGGGCATAGCGGGTCCAGGGGGGCTCTTGCCATAGGGAGTTTGGGGGGGTGCTTGTGTTGGGCAGGGGGGCTGTGTGGCGTGGCATGGGCCAGCCCCCGAGGGGAAGGGCATGCTGACAGCACAGGGCCGGGCGGGCCAGTGTGCATCCGGCAGCTGCTGGTTTGTAAATAGTGCCCGTGCACTGGGCTGGGTGGAGCGGGGCCGCCCTGCCATGCCATGCCCCATTGCCCCTGGCTGGCCCCTTGCTCTGGGGACTGACCTCCCTGCACCAGGCTCCATTGCCTCCATTGGTTCCTGGAGGACAGGTCCATCAGTGGCTACTAGGCAAGATGGTCAGGAATGCAACCCCATGCTCCGGGTGTCCCTAAACCTCTGACTGCTGTGCGATTGAGAATGGGTGACCGGGGATGGGTCACCTGTCCTGGGCACTCCCTCCGGGGCACCGGGCACGGGCACTGTCGGCAGCCCGGACACAGGGCTAGATGGATCCTTGGTCTGACCCAGTCTGGCCGTTCTTATGTACAGGCAGGGAACGGCTTCATTTGTGTGTGGGGGGAAGGGGGAGCAGGGCTGGGCAGCCCTCGGTGCCCTTTGCACCCTGGGGCAACAGGGAGGTGACACCTGGCTCCATGCAGCTCCCCAGGGATGCACGACACACACATGGCAATGGGGCAGCTGGTCAAACCTGCCGCGTTTGGTGAAGGCCCTTTTGACTTGCGCTGGGGGTTGGGGGCTGTGCAGGGGGCTGGGCCTGCCTGGCTCATTCAGATTGGTTGCCGGGGGCGGGGGGAGCAAGTTTTGATGCCAAAATATTTTGTTTTTTAAAGTTACTAATTGTTTGGTACTTCTGCGGGGGGGAGGGGAATCACTTGAAAAGAGTGGTCTGATCGGCAGATACTTGGTATGCCCCCCTCACCCATCCCCCCCAATGTCCCCCGCACCCTCCCCAGTCCTCCACATGCCCCCACCACCCCCAATGTCCCACACACCCTCCCCAGCCCCTTCCACCCATGCCCCCACCCCCAATGTCCCCCATGCCCTCCCCAGCCCTCCATGCCCCCACCACCCTCAATGGAATTTCAAGGAATCCCTGTTGAGGTTACAGGGACAAACCATCCCGATGTGTCGAAAGAATAGTAAATATGGCAGGCGACCAGCTTGGCTTAACGGTGAAATCCTAGCGGATCTTAAACATAAAAAAGAAGCTTACAAGAAGTGGAAGGTTGGACATATGACCAGGGAAGAGTATAAAAATATTGCTCGGGCGTGTAGGAATGTTATCAGGAGGGTCAAATCGCACCTGGAGCTGCAGCTAGCGAGAGATGTCAAGAGTAACAAGAAGGGTTTCTTCAGGTATGTTGGCAACAAGAAGAAAGCCAAGGAAAGTGTGGGCCCCTTAATGAATGAGGGAGGCAACCTAGTGACAGAAGATGTGGAAAAAGCTAATGTACTCAATGCTTTTTTTGCCTCTGTCTTCACGAACAAGGTCAGCTCCCAGACTGCTGCGCTGGGCATCACAACATGGGGAATAGAGGGCCAGCCCTCTGTGGAGAAAGAGGTGGTTAGGGGCTATTTAGAAAAGCTGGACGTGCACAAGTCCATGGGACCGGACGAGTTGCATCCGAGAGTGCTAAAGGAATTGGCGGCTGTGATTGCAGAGCCATTGGCCATTATCTTTGAAAACTCGTGGCGAACGGGGGAAGTCCCGGATGACTGGAAAAAGGCTAATGTAGTGCCAATCTTTAAAAAAGGGAAGAAGGAGGATCCTGGGAACTACAGGCCAGTCAGCCTCACCTCAGTCCCCGGAAAAATCATGGAGCAGGTCCTCAAAGAATCAATCCTGAAGCATTTACATGAGAGGAAAGTGATCAGGAACAGTCAGCATGGATTCACCAAGGGCAAGTCATGCCTGACTAATCTAATCGCCTTCTATGATGAGATTACTGGTTCTGTGGATGAAGGGAAAGCAGTGGATGTATTGTTTCTTGACTTTAGCAAAGCTTTTGACACGGTCTCTCACAGTATTCTTGTCAGCAAGTTAAGGAAGTATGGGCTGGATGAATGCACAATAAGGTGGGTAGAAAGCTGGCTAGATTGTCGGGCTCAACGGGTAGTGATCAATGGCTCCATGTCTAGTTGGTAGCCGGTGTCAAGCGGAGTGCCCCAGGAGTCGGTCCTGGGGCCGGTTTTGTTCAATATCTTCATAAATGATCTGGAGGATGGTGTGGATTGCACTCTCAGCAAATTTGCGGATGATACTAAACTGGGAGGAGAGGTAGATACGCTGGAGGGGAGGGATAGGATACAGAGGGACCTAGACAAATTTTAGGATTGGGCCAAAAGAAATCTGATGAGGTTCAATAAGGATAAGTGCAGGGTCCTGCACTTAGGACGGAAGAACCCAATGCACCGCTACAGACTAGGGACCGAATGGCTCGGCAGCAGTTCTGCGGAAAAGGACCTAGGGGTTACAGTGGACGAGAAGCTGGATATGAGTCAGCAGTGTGCCCTTGTTGCCAAGAAGGCCAATGGCATTTTGGGATGTATAAGTAGGGGCATAGCGAGCAGATTGAGGGACGTGATTGTCCCCCTCTATTCGACATTGGTGAGGTCTCATCTGGAGTACTGTGTCCAGTTTTGGGCCCCACACTACAAGAAGGATGTGGATAAATTGGAGGGAGTCCAGCGAAGGGCAACAAAAATGATTAGGGGTCTAGAACACATGAGTTATGAGCAGAGGCTGAGGGAGCTGGGATTATTTAGCCTGCAGAAGAGAAGAATGAGGGGGGATTTGATAGCTGCTTTCAACTACCTGAAAGTGGGTTCCAAAGAGGATGGCTCTCGACTGTTCTCAATGGTAGCAGATGACAGAACGAGGAGTAATGGTCTCAAGTTGCAGTGGGGGAGGTTTAGATTGGATATTAGGAAAAACTTTTTCACTAAGAGGGTGGTGAAACACTGGAATGCGTTACCTAGGGAGGTGGTAGAATCTCCTTCCTTAGAGGTTTTTAAGACCCGGCTTGATAAAGCCCTGGCTGGGATGGTTTAGTTGGGGATTGGTCCTGCTTTGAGCAGGGGGTTGGACTAGATGACCTCCTGAGGTCCCTTCCAACCCTGATATTCTATGATTCTATGATTCTAATGTCCCACACACCCTCCCCAGCCCCCCATGCCCCCACCCCCAATGTCCCACACGCCCTCCCCAGCCCCCCATGCCTGCCCACAAGAGGTGTGGCGAGGTGCCATTGGCCTGGAATGCTACCTGTGCCCCCCCCCGACCCCCAGCCCCATGCAGCTGGCCCAGGGCCATGCCCGGCTTCTACCTGTGCAAGGTGCATCCTGGGTGAGGCCCACCGGGGCTGCCGGCTCCCTGGGAGAAGGAAGCGGGTTAGACACGGGAGCTAGGCCCGACTGCCCAGGGAGAGACCCAGCCCAGCCCCCCATAGCACCATCCCTGGCACACACTCTGGGGGCGCCCCCGGGCCAGCCCAGCTGCTGAGCCCAGACAGACCCGGCCTGGCCCCACGAGCCCATGGGGAGCTGGGGGGGGCATTTAGTCTCATTCCAGCCATGAGCAGAGCAAAGTCCCCAGCTCAGCCCCGCGCCCTGCTGTGGTCAGGGGTGCGAAGAACCAGTCTGCAGGGGGCAGCACCAGTGCGGGGCACGAGTGGGCGAATGGCACAGGGTGGTGCAGAGATCACGGTGTCACAGACCCCACCTGGCCTCGCACACCCGCTCTCACACACGGCCCTTGCACACCCACCCAGACACACCCTCTGCCCTTACACAGCTGCCCAGACACATACAACGACCCACTGACACCCCCTGCCCTCACACACCTGCTTGCACACCCACCCTTCCCATGCACACCCACCCAGATACATCCCCTGCTGTTACACACCTGCCAAGACACACACAACCACCAACTGATACCCCCTTCCCTTGCACACCTACCCAGACACACCCCTGCCCCCACACACCTGCCCAGACATGCACCTTGCCTTTGCACACCCACCCGGAGACACACGACCACCCACTGATACCCCCGTCCCCGCACACACATCCAGACACACACCCTGTCCTTGCACACCTGCCCACACACACCCCTGCCCTCACATGCCCGCCAGACACCCCTACGCATATGCACCTGCCCACATGCAACCACCCACTGACAGAGGCACCTACTGACACCCCCTGTCCTAGCACACCCGCCCACTGAGGCCTCACACACATACACACTCCATACACCCTGCCCTCACACACTTGCCTAGACATACCTGCCCACCCCCCCGCCTTTGCACACCCACCCCCTGACACTGCCACCCAGGCCATGCTCACCTGCCTACTATGCACTCCCAGCCCTCACACACCCACCTAGACACAAACCCACTGACACAAATCCTGCCCTTTGCACACCAACCCAGACACACACCAGGCCCTCACACACACTGACACCCCCCCTGCTCTCACACACCCACCCAGGCAGACACATACAGGCCTTGCCCACCCACCCACTATGCACACCATGTCTTCGCACATCTGCCAAGACACACTCCATTGACAGACCCCCTAGACACACCCGCTCCCCTTCCACACCCCTGACACCCACTGACACACGTGAGGATACTCACCTCCCCGGGACCCGGCAACAGACTGTAAGAGAACAAGGTGGAGAAGTCGGAGATGGTGCCGGTCCTGCACCCCCTGCCCACCCCCACAGTTCTGGAGCCTGCGGCACTGCAGGGACCAGGTGCCATGGAAAGATGGCTGTGAGCAAGGGGCAGTGCCTGGAATCCGCCCCCACCCCACAGCACTGGGGCGGACAGGGCTGGCTGGGGGAGGGAGCGCCGCACCTCAGCCCTGGGGTTCCCAGCAGTGCCCGCTGGGACCCTCTCCCCACTCAGCCCCCAGGCACCTGCAGGGCCCATCGGGTTCTGGGCTCTGGGCAGGGGGCTGCTGGGGATCGCCCTGCGTGGGCAGCGCACTGTGGGGCGGAGGGAGGGCTTCCCTGCAGCGTGGCCTGGTTTGCTGGGGGGCTCTGGGGGTGGCGCTGAGCTGAGGCCCTCGCTGCAGCCACTCAGCCGACGCCTGCCCTGGCCCGGGCCCGCTGCGGGGGCTGCTGCAGTGCCAGGCGGGCTGGGTGCGCCTCACCCCTACCTTTCCATCGGGCGCAGAGGGCAAGCAGCAGGAGGACGGCGAGCAGGAACAGGGCTGCTGGGAGGAGGATGGTAAGCAGCAGGGGCGGCCCCTTGGGTCCCTTGAGCCCCACGAGCACCGAGCTCTCAACCCGGCCATGCACGTTCTCCGCCCGGCAGGTGTAGGTCCCGTTCCGGCTCACGGACACCTCCTGCGTCGTCCGGTTCCAGAGCCCAGGTGTGTCCTGCAGCTGCACCACCTCGCTCCCCGCCGGCCCCAGCCATGTGATGTTGGGCACAGGCTTCCCCTCGGCCATGCAGGCCACCCGCACAGGGAGGGGCCCAGGGAACAGCGTGAGGTTGAGGATGCTGGGTTGTGCTGTGGGGAGAGGAGAGGAGGGAACGATGGGGAGCAGGCAGCCCGTGGGGGGCTGGGATCACCCTCCCCATCTGCCTTGGGGCTGGGCACTACTGAGACACCCCCCACTGGGGCAGGGAAAAGGCCTGGGGCCTTTCAGGGTGTCTGAGCCATGGCAGAGAGCAATCCCCTGGGCAGGCCCTGCCCGGGCACGCAGCACGGGGGCAGATGCCAGGAAAGCTGCCCGTCTGTGCCCACAGCAGGCAGGGGACAGGCGGGTGGGGGCCCTGACACAGGCTCCATGCTGCACTCTGCCTGCAGATGGCTCCGGGCACTGGGGGCTCTGCCCGGGGCCATTCTCAGAGGGGGGCAGCCCCAGCTCTGGGAGCGAACGGACCTCAGAGCCCCCCGCACCAGGGTGCGGCCAGCAGCAGGGCCCTGGCTGGCAGAGAGTGCGTGACCCCAGGGTTGCCTAGACGGGCTCCAAGGGCTCAGCACCCTGACCCTGGGCACGGTACCTTCCACGGTGAGCGTTACCCCAGCGCTGGGCTCGTAGGCCGCTCCCGTTACACCCACGAGCACCACGCGGCACTTGTACTCCCTGCTGTCCTCGAAGCGCAGCCCTGCGATGTGCAGGGAGAGGTTGTGTCGCCGGGGGTCCCCGGCCAGGCGGAAGCGCCCACTCGGCTCCTGACCCGCCGTGCAGTTCTCGAAGCTGCCGGTCTCAGTGCTGCGGTTGTTCACCAGGCATTGGAAAATATCGGGCTTCCAGATCACCTGGATTTTACCCATGTAGTCATGGAGCGGGTGTGTGAAGGTGCAGGGCAGCACAATGGAACCTCCTCTCAGCCCCGTTATCCGTGGGGGGAAATGCATGTTCCAGATGGGCTCTGCCCAGCCGCCCCACAGTGCGCCCCCTAGAGACACAGACAGAAGGTGTGATGGGATGTGAACTGTATTACACCGTTCAGCCACCCGGGGGCGCTGAGTCTAAGCTAACCTGGGCCCTACCTATCAGAGCATTAGAGGATCTTATGATCAACACATCTGGTGTGTCTCTCTCTAGAAAGGAAGCTGTGTAGCCAGCCCATATCTGGCACGGAAGAACATGGTGTCAGGAGTAAACTAAGAACAGAGATGGAAAGAAAACAACAAGAGAGGTTGCAAACAGAAGGAACAAAGCAACAAAAGCTGCAGGATCTAATCAACATGCCACTCTCCAATGACCCAGAGAACTTCAGCTTTGAGATCAGTATTTTGCAAGGGTTGAATTGCAAACAAACTCCACAAAGACACCGGAGATATACAGGTATCAAGTTTAATGTGTGCTACGGGGAAGCAGGCAGAGCAGATAGTTAAATCCTTTGGCTTTACTGAAGACAGTTACAAAGATGACTAGGAAAGGGTTCTGGCTGTGTTTGATGTGCACTTTACACTGCAGGGAAATGAGGTCTATGAAAGGTGTGTTTTCACCAGAGAATTCAAGGAGCAGGGGAAATGTTGACTGTTTTATAAGAGCTCTGTGCACATTGGCTGAAAACTGATTTGGGAATGCAGAACATGACAATATCAGAGACAGGCTGGTTACTGGGTTAACAGATAAAAACCTTTCACAGCAGCTACAGCTGAACAGAGATTTAACCCTAGCCACAGCGGTACAGATAACAAAGCAGGCTGAACTAGTCCAGGAACAGAACAAAAGGCAGGAGCGTCTTGAAACATCTGAAATAGCTTAGAAACTGTAAACAGACACTTGTTAAAGGTCATTGTCATAAAAAAAAAAACCTAAGGTAAAGAGAGAGAACTTTCCTGACTAAGAGGGACAAATTCAAGCCTACGTGCCCAAGGTGTGGAAAAAGTTATGTCCCAAGAGATGATGCATGTCCAGCCACAGGCACACGGTGTAATAAACGCATGAAATATGGACATTTTGCAGCTGTTTGCCACACCAAAGCAGTCAGGGAGTTGGCTGGTATTACTGACAATCAAGAACCGTTGTTTCTCAGATCTATCACTTGTGATGACACCAAGACGGCCTGGAGGGTGAACCTGAATATTCCGATGTGACAAACTGAGATTTTCCCTTGTTACGTTGTATATGAGTCTTACTATCTTGTATGACTACTGTGTGGAGACGTCAGAGATGGTGTCTGTGCCAGCCTGGGCCCGGTCCTGCACCCCCTGCCCACCCCCTCAGTTCTGAAGCCTGCAGATACGCCTCGTGACTCAGTAAAGTATGCAGGGACTTGCCTATGTGACTCCAAACTCCATTTTGCTGTAATGTTCCACAGTAAGAACAAAGAGGAGTTCTTACACCTGGAAAAGACTATAAAAGGCTGATGCCTCATCTCCATCTGGTCTTCAATCCTGCTTCATACTCTGGAGGAACTTTGCTACACTGAAGCTCTGAACAAAGGACTGAATGACCCATCCCAGCTGGGGATGTTCTCCAGAGACTTGATTTGAACCTGCAGCTTATTCCATCACTGCTACAAGCCTGAACCAAGAATTTTGCCATCACTGTCTGTCATTGATTCCATTGAACCAATTCTGGCTCTCATCTCTATTTCTTTCCTTTTATGAATAACCCTTTAGATTTCAGATTCTAAGGGATTGGCAACAGCGTGATCTGTGGGTAAGATCTGATTTGTATATTGACCTGGGTCTGGGGCTTGGTCCTTTGGGATCGAGGGAATCTTTTTTCTTTTACTGGGGTATTGGTTTTCATAACTATTTGTCCCCACAACGAGTGGCACTGGTGGAGAGACTGGGAAACTGGAGCGTCTAAGGGAATTGCTTGTGTGACTTGTGGTTAGCCAGTGGGGTAAAACCAAAGTCCTCTCTGTCTGGCTGGTTTGGTTTGCCTTAAAGGTGGAAAAACCCCAGTCTTGGGCTGTAACTGCCCTGCTGGAAGCAGTTTGTCCTGAATAGGCACTCTCAGTTGGGTCCCGCCAGAACCAGCATCGTTACAGTGGCGTAGTCGTGCTAGGATCCACAGAACCAGGTCAATTAAGCTTTGGGTCAGAACCCCACGCTATCCAAATTTGAATTTTAGTAGTGAGAGTTTGGTTGGTTAAAGAGCAGTTGCAATGGGTGAGCAAAGAGCCTATGAGGGCCTTGGCAAAAAAGCCGTGAAAGGTTTGTGTTCAGAAAAGGGGATAAGCTTTAGAAAGAAAGCTACAAATCAAGAACTGAGAAATCTGTTAATGGCTAATGATCAGGAGGCAGGAGCATAGCCCTTAGCTGATGCTACAGAAGCTGCAGAAGCAATTGGATTGCAAGAGGCAGCAAATATGATTTAGTCGGGGATCGGTCCTGCTTTGAGTAGGGGGTGGGACTAGATGACCTCCTGAGGTCCCTTCCAACCCTGATATTCTATGATTCTAAGTAAACTGCAACTTGAGCATGAACAAAGACTGGCAGAAATAAGGCAAAAGTGGAAAGACTTCAGCTCCAAGTGAAAAAAGCAATAGAAGAACAGCAGAACTTTCCAGTATATAACAATGTTGGTATGTTGTTGTGACGAAGTGGGACTGTTCTTAATGTTTCCTCTGAATAGTGTGGGGGTGCCTCAGTTTCCCCTAGGCAGTTCTTAAGTATCTAGGTGGTGGGATAAGGGTGCGTGATCATTGCAGAGCCCTAGAGGGCAGGTGTGTGCAGGGGTCTGGACACAAAGAATGGCCGACACCGTGTTTCCTGGCCACTGATGGCCTGGGCCCTTCCCCCCTGCAAGGTGAGAGCTAAAGGGTTGGAGAACAAAGGAATCAGGTGCCCTCCTGGCCCGGGAAGGGGACAAAGCCCAGAGGAGGAGGGGCTGGAGGGAGTTTCAATTGGGGACTGGCTGGGACGTGGAGTGAAGTGCAGAGTGGTTGTCTGGCTCACTGCCCCCCAGAATGGACCTGGCTGAGGGGTCCTGTTCTCTGTACCTACAAGCTCTGTTTTAGACCACGTTCCTGTCATCTAATAAACCTTCTGTTTTACTGGCTGGCTGAGAGTCCCGTCTGACTGCGGAGTTGTGGGGCAGGACCCTCTGGCTTCCCCAGGACCCTGCTTGGACTGGTCTGTGGGAAGCAGACAGAGGGGAGAGGATGCTGAATGCTCCAAGGTCAGACCCAGGAAAGGGGAAGCCGTGTGAGATGTGTGTCCTGCAGACAGGCTGCTCCCAGAAAGGCGACTGCCCCAGAGTCCTGACTGGCTTCATGGGGAGCAGTTCCAGAGCATCGCCCGGGGACTCTGTGAAAACTGGTGGCAGAGGTGGGATGTACTGCACCCCGTGGACGGCGCTTCCTGCAGTAAGTGACTGGGGAGCAGTAAAACGAAGGGGGATTGACAGGGAGCAGGTGTGCTGAAGATTCAGAGAGAGACGGTTTCAGGGGGTGGTTAACCCCTGGGAGTGTGTGACCAGAGAGAAGGACTTTTGCAGTAACAGGGTTCCCCTGGGGATTGCAGCGAGCGGTCCCAGGGGCGGAGGAGTCTGCAGCTCGACCCTAGCAAAGAGGTGGTGACCTTGAGAAGGGCTGGCACACGAGGGATTCTCCCTGGAGACTGTGGGGAGCCGCTAGGCTCAGGCTACCTGCCTGCCTGTAACCAGACCCCTGGGGCTCGCCGCCCCCCTTGCACACCGGAGAGGGGGCTCACGCTGGCTCTGATGCAGTGAGGAAAGCAGCGAGCTCGCTGCCTACCCCCACTGGGACAGCAAGGGCAGTGCTGAGCACAGTGGGAGCTGAGACCCCAGCTGAGGGGGGGGAGACACGGGCAGGGCAGGGGATCTGTTGGGAGTGGCAAGGTGCTTGGTAAGGAAAGTCTGGATGAGCCTAGGCGGCCTTGTGATCTGATGGCTGTGTCTAGTCAGCAGGGTGGGAAGGCGAGGAGAGTGGGAGATGAGTGTCCCTGGACCTTACCTGTTAGCTGGGTGGAGAATTGGGACAGTGAAGGAAACGTGCCTGTGTCTGTCAGGGGTATTGACTTGCCAATGGAGGGAGCTACCCCGGTCCCCAAGCAGTTGTCTGTGAACAGCCCTGTGTGCTGGGACCAGGGGAATGAGATCCCAAGCTGTGTGTCTGGGAAAGGAGAAAGTGTGTCCAGCTCTTCTTTGTCTGTGGAGCAGACAGAAGGGGCCTTTCAGCCTGTGATGGTTGAGGGGAGTGCAGTTGTTTCAGAGTTTGTTCTGGATTCAGCTAAAGCCCAGGAGGGGAAGGGTCCTAAGTTTGTGTCTGCTCGGGAGAATGGCCCTGTAACTAGGTCGCATCCAGTTAGTGTCTCTGCAAAATCCCAGAGACCAGACAATTCTGGTGCTTGTATTTTGCCTGTTGCTAGTGTGTTGTTGGAAAGGGTGGAGCAACTCTGTCTAATCAGGGTGAGATCCTAGCCAGGGCACAAGGAGAGCATGAAGGTGATGTGATTGTGTTACCTACTGAGGGTGTGGAAACTTGTAGCAAGAAGGAAAAGATTCCTGAACTTGTGTGTGGCAAAGGGAAGGAGAATGCTTCTCACCTTTTATCTAGGAATTCTGTCAGTTTGCCTGAAAAGGGATTGTGTAGGAAGCCGCTGGATGGGCCAGAGGTGATTCTGGATGTAAGGGAGACCCAGAAAGAGTCTGTTGCTCAGGAAACAGAGGAACAGCCGTGTTAGTCTGTATTCGCAAAAAGAAAAGGAGTACTTGTGGCACCTTAGAGACTAACCAATTTATTTGAGCATGAGCTTTCGTGAGCTACAGCTCACTTCATCAGATGTTTACCGTGGAAACTGCAGCAGACTTTATATACACACAGAGAATATGAAACAATACCTCCTCCCACCCCAGTGTCCTGCTGGTAATAGCTTATCTAGCACCAGCAGGAGAGTGAATTTGTGTGGGGGGGTGGAGGGTGAGAAAACCTGGATTTGTGCTGGAAATGGACCACCTGTTGATCACTTTAGATAAGCTATTACCAGCAGGACAGTGGGGTGGGAGGAGGTATTGTTTCATATTCTCTGTGTGTATATAAAGTCTGCTGCAGTTTCCACGGTAAACATCTGATGAAGTGAGCTGTAGCTCACGAAAGCTCATGCTCAAATAAATTGGTTAGTCTCTAAGGTGCCACAAGTACTCCTTTTCTTTTTGCTCAGGGAAAGTGTTTCTCTAGAGCAAGCCCTAGGTGAAGAGGGTGAGAGCAGAATTTCTGTGAGGGGTGAATTGTTGCATAGAAAAGCCCTCGGGAAAGGAATCCTCATGGAGTCTTTGCAAGCAGTTTACTGCAACTGAAGGGTGTGAAAGTGATTTAATCAAAAAAGGTTTCAGAGTAACAGCCGTGTTAGTCTGTATTCACAAAAAGAAAAGGAGTACTTGTGGCACCTTAGAGACTAACCAAAGTTTCAGTTCCTAACGGCCAGAAATTTTCTGTTGTGAATGGATCCACTGACTTTCCTGTTGAAAGATCCAGTGTGGAGAGCTTTGAGATGGTCTCAGATGGAGTGAAAGCTGTTAAGAAAGTTAAACAGTCCTATAACGAAGTGGCTGTGTTTGGCTAGCTTGTTGGGGAGAAGACCCAATCCCAGTTTGACCCCCTGGGGTTTTGGGGTGGCCAAAGGGCATGGGCCACATAAACCTTCCCACATGCGGCCTGCGAGTGCTATCGACCACCCCCGACCTAAGGGACGGCGTGAAACTGGAAGGGCCTGGTGTAACTCCTACCAAGGAACGGGAGAGATGCTGGGGCATCCATGGGAACGTTGGTGGCTTCGAACTTCCCCAGGTCACCGGCTAAAGTGACCCCGCTCAGTTTGGTCTCGAAAGGGGGAGAGATGTGACGAAGTGGGACTGTTCTTAATGTTTCCTCTGAATAGTGTGGGGGTGCCTCAGTTTACCCTAGGCAGTTCTTAAGTATCTAGGGGGTGGGGTAAGGGTGTATGATCATTGCAGAGCCCTAGAGGGCAGGTGTGTGCAAGGGTCTGGACACAGACAATGGCCGACATCCTGTTTCCTGGCAACTGATGGCCTGGGCCCTTCCCCCCCTGCAAGGTGAGAGCTAAAGGGTTGGAGAACAAAGGAATCAGGTGCCCTCCTGGCCCGGGAAAGGGACAAAGCCCAGAGGAGGAGGGGCTGGAGGGCTGGGACATGGAGTGAAGTGCAGACATGGTTGTCTGGCTCACTGCCCCCCAAAATGGACCCAGCTGAGGGGTCCTGTTCTCTGCACCTATAAGCTCTGTGTTAGACCATGTTCCTATCGTCTAATAAACCATCTGTTTTACTGGCTGGCTGAGAGTCCCGTCTGACTGCGGAGTTGGGGGGCAGGACCCTCTGGCTTCCCCAGGACCCCGCCTGAGCAGACTCGCTGTGGGAAGCGCACGGAGGGGCAGAGGATGCTGAATGCTCCGAGGTCAGACCCAGGAAGGGGGAAGCTGTGTGAGCTGTGTGTCCTGCAGACAGGCTGCTCACAGAAAGGAGACTTCCCCAGCGTCCTGCCTGGCTTCATGGGAAGCAGTTCCAGAGCATTGCCCGGGGACTTCGTGACAACTGGTGTTAGCGGTGGGATGTACTGCACCCCATGGACGGCGCTTCCTGCAGTAAGTGACTGGGGAGCAGTAAAACGAAGAGGGATTGACGAGGACCAGGCGTGCTGAAGGCTCAGAGAGGAGCGGTTTCGGGGGGCGGTTAACGCCTGGGAGTGTGTGACCAGCGAGAAGGACTGTGCAGTAATGGGGTCCCCCTGGGGACTGCAGTGAGCAGTCTCGGGGTGGAGGAGCCTGCAGCTTGGCCCTTGAAGAGAGAAGGATTTTTGCAGTAACAGGGTCCCCCGGGGGATTGCAGCGAGCGGTCCCAGGGGCGGAGGGGTCTGCGGCTCGACCCTGGCAAAGAGTTGGTGACCTCGAGAAGGGCTGGCATACTAGGGGTTCTCCCTGGAAACCGTGGGGAGCTGAGAGCACACAGGCCTGTGAGTCCACAACAACTTGGGAAGAGCGGAGTGATGGCCTGTCACCGTCTCCTGAAGAATCATAGAATCATAGAATATCAGGGTTGGAAGGGACCCCAGAAGGTCATCTAGTCCAACCCCCTGCTCGAAGCAGGACCAAATCCCAGTTAAATCATCCCAGCCAGGGCTTTGTCAAGCCTGACCTTAAAAACCTCTAAGAAAGGAGATTCTACCACCTCCCTAGGTAACGCATTCCAGTGTTTCAGCACCCTCTTAGTGAAAAAGTTTTTCCTAATATCCAATCTAAACCTCCCCCACTGCAACTTGAGACCATTACTCCTCGTTCTGTCATCTGATACCATTGAGAACAGTCTAAAGCCATCCTCTTTGGAACCCCCTTTCAGGTAGTTGAAAGCAGCTATCAAATCCCCCCTCATTCTTCTCTTCTGCAGGCTAAACAATCCCAGCTCCCTCAGCCTCTCCTCATAACTCATGTGTTCCAGACCCCTAATCATTTTTGTTGCCCTTCGCTGGACTCTCTCCAATTTATCCACATCCTTCTTGAAGTGTGGGGCCCAAAACTGGACACAGTACTCCAGATGAGGCCTCACCAATGTCGAATAGAGGGGAACGATCACATCCCTCGATCTGCTCGCTATGCCCCTACTTATACATCCCAAAATGCCATTGGCCTTCTTGGCAACAAGGGCACACTGCTGACTCCTATCCAGCTTCTCGTCCACTGTCACCCCTAGGTCCTTTTCCGCAGAACTGCTGCCTAGCCATTCGGTCCCTAGTCTGTAGCTGTGCATTGGGTTCTTCCGTCCTAAGTGCAGGACCCTGCACTTATCCTTATTGAACCTCATCAGATTTCTTTTGGCCCAATCCTCCAATTTGTCTAGGTCCTTCTGTATCCTATCCCTCCCCTCCAGCGTATCTACCACTCCTCCCAGTTTAGTATCATCCGCAAATTTGCTGAGAGTGCAATCCACACCATCCTCCAGATCATTTATGAAGATATTGAACAAAACCGGCCCCAGGACCGATCCTTGGGGCACTCCACTTGATACCGGCTGCCAACTAGACATGGAGCCATTGATAACTACCCGTTATCAAGAAGGACATTGTAACCCTGTGCAGAAAGAGAGGGTTGAGCATTGGAAAGTTCACCAAGGCACAGTTCATCGTGCAGCTGGAGGAGGATGACCGCTCTAATGAACAGATTCCTGACCCCAAATGGGGCTATAGCAGGATCTGGGAGCAGCTGGAGCGGGAGCCAGGCATTGCCAAGACTCCTGTCCCCGACCAGACGAGGGTCTTCACGATCGGGTTCCCCATCGGGGGATCGGAGACGGACGGGATTGGAGCTGAGTCTGAGAGAGCAAGAGGACTGTGAGAGACAGCGAGAGCCCGAGAAAGAGCTGCAGAAGCAGCAGCAGCATGAACTGGCGGTGGTGGGGCGGAGAGGCCTAGGGGACCTCCCCGGGGTGAGTGGGGTTAGACCCCGGGGGGCCAGTTCTGCCGGGAACCTCGAGACTAAATTGCTGTCCTGGTTAAGGAGAGGGGGATGTGGATGCCCACCTCACTGCCTTTGAGCAGGCTGGCGATTTGAACCAGGGGGACCCTGCGGAAAAGCCCCGGTGTCTAGCTCCCTTGCTGGGTCCCAAGGCCATAGACTCCGCCAGCCAGATGGTTGGGGAGGTGGACAGGCTCCCACTCCTGACCCCAACCTATATGTCTGTGTGGAGTCTCCTGGGGCCAGGCCCCTCGGACCCCCAGTGGGAGCAGAAGGTGATGGTCAATGGGGAGACATTCCTGGGGTGGCGAGATCCTGGGACAGAGAGAACTGTTGTCAGGCCCTGGGTGGTGCAGCCTCAGATGCGGAGGGGCTGTGTGAGCTGGGTGAGGGTCCGAGGGACGAAGCCCCTCGCCCTGCCTATGGCCCAGATCCCTGTGCAGACCCAGGAGGGGCGGGGCTGGCTGGCCGTTGGGATTCTCCAGGATATCAGCTGCGAGACCCTGTTGTGGGGTGATGGTGTCTCTTTGGGACAGGATCCAGGCCCTGCTACTGTATCGGCCAAGGGTTTGAATTTGAATCCAGGGAACCAATCGGCGGAGAGGGAAATCGGAGGAGCTGCTAGGCTCAGGATACCTGCCTGTCTGTAACCAGAGCCTGGGGTTGGGTGGGACAGAGAGATGTTCCCTGTCCCCCTGCACACCAGAAAGGGCACTCACGCTGGCTCTGATGCTGTAAGGAGAGCAGAGAACTCTCTGCTTGCCCCCACTGGGAAGCAAGGGCAGCACTGAACATAGGGGAAACTGAGGCACCCCCACAATATTCAGAGGAAACATTAAGAACAGTCGAGCTTTGTCACACTTCCATTACCAACCTCTGCTTCCACATGGGATTAGATGTTAAATTGACTGAGAGACTACAAGTCATATCCAAAGTGTCTAGAGATGAGAGTTTACCTGCCATCCCCTGCATTCTCGAGAGATTAACTACACAGCTGTTCTACTCTGCAGACTCATAGAATCATAGAATATCAGGGTTGGAAGGGACCTCAGGAGGTCATCTAGTCCAACCCCCTGCTCAAAGCAGGACCAATCCCCAATTAAATCATCCCAGCCAGGGCTTTGTCAAGCCTGACCTTAAAAACTTCTAGGGAAGGAGATTCTACCACCTCCCTAGGTAACGCATTCCAGTGTTTCACCACCCTCCTAGTGAAAATGTTTTTCCTAATATCCAACCTAAACCTCCCCCACTGCAGCTTGAGACCATTACTCCTCGTTCTGTCATCAGCTACCACTGAGAACAGTCTAGAGCCATCCTCTCTGGAACCACCTCTCAGGTAGTTGAAAGCAGCTATCAAATCCCCCCTCATTCTTCTCTTCTGCAGGCTAAACAATCCCAGCTCCCTCAGCCTCTCCTCATAACTCATGTGTTCCAGACCCCTTATCATTTTTGTTGCCCTTCGCTGGATTCTCTCCAATTTTTCCACATCCTTCTTGTAGTGTGGGGCCCAAAACTGGACACAGTACTCCAGATGAGGCCTCACCCGTGTTGAATAGAGGGGAACGATCACGTCCCTCGATCTGCTGGCAATGCCCCTACTTATACATCCCAAAATGCCATTGGCCTTCTTGGCAACAAGGGCACACTGCTGACTCCTATCCAGCTTCTCGTCCACTGTCACCCCTAGGTCCTTTTCCGCAGAACTGCTGCCGAGCCATTCGGTCCCTAGTCTGTAGTCTCAGCTACCCAGTCTCCCCTCGGAACCTGGGCCACATACTCACTCACCGAATCATCATGGAGACATTCCTCTCTCAACAACCTTGTCTCCCCAACAAGCTGGCCAAACCCAGCCACTTGGTTAGAGGACTGTTCAACTTTCTTAACAGCTTTCACTTCATCTGAGACCTTCTCAAAGTTATCCACACTGGGTCTTTCAACAGGAAAGTCACTGGATCCATTCACCACAGCCCAGAGCCAGAGGCAGCGAGGGTCCATTGCTCCGGGCAGGGTGTGAGAGCCAGACCTACCTGTGAGCAGACCCCAGAGGCACACGCAGCGGGGGTCCATCGCTCCAGGAGGGGCTGAGCGCCGTCTGCTCCAGGCACCGGAGGGTCTGGGCTCTGCAGGAAAGGGAAGTCCCAGACTGGCTATTTCATTATGTCCTGTCCTATGAGACAGCAAAACCACAGTCGTTCTCAGGGGAATGAGGCTGGTCAGGAGATGTGGAGGGGGCAACCAGAGGCCCACAGACGGAGGGGCACAGACACCCACCACCCACCGCACAACTCAGGCACCAGCAGCCTGTCCCTGCCTCGTGAGCCTCGTCTAGGAGAGGGCACAAGCAGGCCGGGGTGGGGCTCTGGGCAAGCCCCCCCCATCCCCCGGCAGAGCTGTGGGGGTGTCACACTCGGGCCCAGGGGGATGTAGAGGGAGGGTGCTTCCCTTTTTCACTCTTTGCTGCTTGTCAGAAACACACGCTCAGCGACCAGGCGTGAATTGTTTCCTGTATCAGGGCCAGAGAGCCTAGGCAGGTCCCCCACCCCACCCCTGCAGAGCCTGGGGGCCAGGGCAGCTCCCCCAGCAGAGGCAGAAGGGGCCGGCAGCTCACCTAGTCTGGCCTGCTGGTAGCTGAGGCCCTTGACCCCTACCGCGGTCCCCCTGCGCCTGGCTCTGGAGGTACAAAGAGACGGAGACTCCACCATTGCCCCAGCAGCCTGTTCCCAGGGCTCATCAGCCTCCCTCCTGCCAATTGACACCTCATTGCTGACCGGACCTGGGCCATGGGGCCGTGCGCTGCCTTTCCCGGCTAGGTTCAAGCGCCCAGGGCAGTGCCGGGGGTTCTGGCTGTGCCGGGTCACACCCTGAGCACATCACCTCGCCAGCAGCTGTGTGAGAGCTAACCGGGCAGAGCTCTCTCTCACCCGCGCTGCCTGGCCAAGCACCCTCGTGGCTCTTTCCTGTCCCCGCTCCAACCTTTCAACACCCTGTTTAATCCGTAGGCACCAGACCTGGGCACAGGGTCCAGGATCGGTCTTGCCAACACCGAGTACACAGGTAACTGCCCACCACCACCCCCGCTCCCTCACTCGGGCCGGGGGGGAATTTGGTCAGGTAGCATCACCTAGTGGTCAGGGCTTAGGCCCGTGACTTGCAGAGGTGTTGTTGGTAGGGGAGCCCGGGCCCTCCCGCTCCACTGGACTCTGATCCAGGCCCCCCAGTGCTCTGACAGTCGGGGCTCCGTACAGCTGCCCTCCGCGGCCTCTTCCTATCCCCCCGCGCTCGTCTCCAGGTCGCCGCCCGGGTGAAGGAGCGTGAGGGTGTCTGGTCACCCCTGGCCATCTCCAGTGGCTGCAGGTAGCGGGGCAGCTCTCATCCTCTCTCACCGGTAGCTGCCCCCTCCCGCGGTACGGCCCTCCCGGGCCAGCGCAGTCCACGGGCCGTCCCCTGCTGGGGTAGCCCAACAGAGTCAAGGGGAATGACCAGACCTCGGAGTCCATATGCAGGGAGAGGGGGACGCTCCCCCCTTGGCGGTAGCTGCGGCAGGCCGTCTGCAAGGGGCTGCTGTCATGGGGAGAGATTCTACCTTCCCCATCCCAACACCCCAGGGTCACGTCAGCTCTTGGCACCACAGCATCGCTCCGGGAGCTCGTGTTCAGTGCTCCTGTGAGGGCCAGGGCCTGAGCTGGGGCCAGGCCAGCCCGGCTGGGGAGCTGCTCTGCTCGGCCAGGTGGACGATGCTTCAGCCTGCAGGTCTCTGGGCTGAGCTTAGGGCTGCCCATGGGGGCTCCAGGTGTCTGACAAACCCTGCTCTGGCTGGAACAGGCTGCCGGGCAGGGGGCATCGGTCCCTGCGGAGGGGACATGTCTCGCCCAGGGTCTGGCTGGGTGGGACTCGCTGGGCAGGGCTCCGGGGGTGGAGCAGGAGGCTGGAGCCCAGGGGCTCCGTCTGGGAGGGCTGAGTCCTCATGACCTCTCCTGAAGGGTGGGTAGGACCCCTGGGACGGAGGAGGGTCTGGCCCACTGACAGGCTCCTCCAAGTGACTGTTCCAAAGTTGGGGGGTAGGCTGGATCCTGGGGAGCTGTGACAGCCTGTACATCCTGTTCAGAGTTGCTGCTTCCCAGGGCACAGCCCCCCCGGCTCTAGGGCTGGCCGCATTCCTGGTTCCTGGGTGCTGGCTCCTGAGCCTGGCTGTATTAACACGTTTGGCTGGAAGGGACCGAGTGCATCGAGGGACCCAGCCGCTCTGCAGGGCTGCCCTTAGCTACCGCTCCACGGCCTGGCCCATCGGCAGGTTTGGTCAGCAGGGATTGTATATTTCCTGCCAGATCCCAGAGGGCAAGGTGGGCTAGCGAGAGGACAGCGGACACAAGGGCTAAGCGACGCATGGCCAGAGGGGCAGGAGGCAGCGATGGGGGCTGGGCTCACTCAGACACCAGGCCTCTCAGCAGGGACTTGGAGCAAAGAGCAGAGAAAGAGGAAGGAAGCCAGGGTGGTATCTATGCAGTGGGGCGGGTGGACCCGAGTGCTGGCTGGCCTGCTGGGTGGCTTCCCCTTGGCTGGGGCCCAGCCAACGGCTGCTGTCACCGCAGACACAGGCTAAGGCTCATTGCGGCCTAAAGTCTGGCTGGGTGGGACTCGCTGGACTAGGGCTCAGGGGTGGAGCAGGAGGCTGGAGCCCAAGGGCTCTGTCTAGGGGTGCTGGGGCTGCAGGGCCTCCCTTGGAGGAAGAGGGAGACCCTGAAGGGGGAGGATCTGGCCCACAGATGGGCACCTCCAAGGAACTAACTGCCAGGCTACAACCCCCAGCCTGCGGCTCTGGACAAGCTCTCAGCGACGGCCAGCTAGCCACAGACCTGTGACCAGTGTGACGAAGTGGGACCGAGAGTGCTAAAGGAGTTGGCGGATGTGACTGCAGAGCCATTGGCCATTATCTTTGAAAACTCATGGCGATCGGGGGAAGTCCCGGACGACTGGAAAAAGACTAATGTAGTTCCCATCTTTAAAAAAGGGAAGAAGGAGGATCCTGGGAACTACAGGCCAGTCAGCCTCACCTCAGTCCCTGGAAAAATCATGGAGCAGGTCCTCAAGGAATCAATTCTGAAGCACTTTGAGGAGAGGAAAGTGATCAGGAACAGTCAGAATGGACTCACCAAGGGTAAATCATGCCTGACTAATCTAATTGCCTTCTATGACGAGATAACTGGCTCTGTGGATGAGGGGAAAGCGGTGGATGTGTTGTTCCTTGACTTTAGCCAAGCTTTTCACACGGTCTTCCACAGTATTCTTGCCAGCAAGTTAAAGAAGTATGGGCTGGATGAATGGACTATAAGGTGGATAGAAAGCTGGCTAGATTGTCGGGCTCAACGGGTAGTGATCAATGGCTCCATGTCTAGTTGGCAGCTGGTGTCAAGCGGAGTGCCCCAAGGATCGGTCCTGGGGCCAGTTTTGTTCAATATCTTCATTAATGATCTGGAGGATGGTGTGGATTGCATCCTCATTAAGTTTTCAGATGACACTAAACTGAGAGGAGAGGTAGATACGCTGGAGGGTAGGGATAGGATACAGAGGGACCTAGACAAATTAGAGGATTGGGCCAAAAGAAATCTGATGAGGTTCAACAAGGACAAGTGCAGAGTCCTGCACTTAGGACGGAAGAACCCAATGCACCGCTACAGACTAGGGACCGAATGGCTAGGCAGCAGTTCTGCGGAAAAGGACCTAGGGGTGACAGTGGACGAGAAGCTGGATAGGAGTCAGCAGTGTGCCCTTGTTGCCAAGAAGGCCAATAGCATTTTGGGATGTATAAGTAGGGGCATTGCCAGCAGATCGAGGGACGTGATCGTTCCCCTCTATTCGACATTGGTGAGGCCTCATCTGGAGTACTGTGTCCAGTTTTGGGCCCCACACTACAAGAAGGATGTGGAAAAATTGGAAAGTCCAGCGGAGAGCAACAAAAATGATTAGGGGACTGGAACACATGACTTATGAGGAGAGGCTGAGGGAACTGGGGATGTTTAGTCTACGGAAAAGAAGAATGAGGCGGGATTTGATAGCTGCTTTCAACTACCTGAAAGGGGGGTTCCAAAGAGGATGGCTCTAGACTGTTCTCAGTGGTAGCAGATGACAGAACAAGGAGTAATGGTCTCAAGTTGCAGTGGGGGAGGTTTAGGTTGGACATTAGGAAAAACTTTTTCACTAGGAGGGTGGTGAAACACTGGAATGCGTTACCTAGGGAGGTGGTAGAATCTCCTTCCTTAGAAGTTTTTAAGGTCAGGCTTGACAAAGCCCTAGCTGGGATGGTTTAATTGGGGATTGGTCCTGCTTCGAGCAGGGGGTTGGACTAGATGACCTTCTGGGGTCCCTTCCAACCCTGATATTCTATGATTCTATGACAGTTCTTAATGTTTCCTCTGAATAGTGTGGGGGTGCCTCAGTTTCCCCTAGGCAGTTCTTAAGTATCTAGGGGGTGGGGTAAAGGTGTATGATGGTTGCAGAGCCCTAGAGGGCAGGTGTGTGCAGGGGTCTGGACACAGAGAATGGCCGACACCCTGCTTCCAGGCATCTGATGGACTGGGCCTTCCCCCCTGCAAGGTGAGAGTTAAAGGGTTGGAGAACAAAGGAATCTGGTGCCCTCCTGGCCTGGAAAGGGACAAAGCCCAGAGGAGGAGGAGGGGCTGGAGGGAGTTTCAGTTTGGGGCTGGCTGGGACATGGAGTGAAGTGCAGACAGGGTTGTCTGGCTCACTGCCCCCCAAAATGGACCCAGCTGAGGGGTCCTGTTCTCTGCACCTGCAAGCTCTGTGTTAGACCACGTTCCTGTCGTCTAATAAACCTTCTGTTTTACTGGCTGGCTGAGAGTCCCGTCTGACTGCGGAGTTGGGGGGCAGGACCCTCTGGCAGCCCCAGGACTCTGCCTCTGCGGACTCGCTGTGGGAAGTGCACGGAGGGGCAGAGGAGGCTGAAGGCTCCGAGGTCAGACCCAGGAAGGTGGAAGCCGGGTGAGCTGTGTGTCCTGCAGACAGGCTGCTCCCAGAGAGGAGACTTCCCCAGAGTCCTTCCTGGCTTCATGGGGAGCAGTTCCAGAGCAACGCCCGAGGACTCCAGGACACCAGCACCGAGGTAGCCCAGGTGAGCCCTGGCTGCTGCTGGCCTGTCTGGTATGGATCAGTCCCCGCCTGGCGGGGGAGCATGCCCACCCCGTTGGAGCCAGGAGCAGGCTGGGCCATGCACTTCTAGGGTCACAGCCCCTGTCATAAATATAAAGGGAAGGGTAACCACCTTTCTGTATACAGTGCTATAAAATCCCTCCTGGCCAGAGGCAAAACCCTGTCACCTGTAAAGGGTTAAGAAGCTCAGGTCACCTAGCTGGCACCCGACCCAAATGACCAATGAGGAGACAAGTTACTTTCAAATCGGGAATGGGGGGGAAACAAAGGGTCTGTCTGTCTGTGTGATGCCTTTGCCGGGAACAGATCAGGAATGCAGCCTCAAAACTTCTGTTAGTTAGTAAGTAATCTAGCTAGAAATGTGTTAGAGTTCCTTTTGTTTAATGGCTGGTAAAATACGCGGTGCTGGATGGAATGTAGATTCCTGCTTTTGTGTCTTTTTGTAACTTAAGGTTTTGCCTAGAGGGATTCTCTGTGTTTTGAATCTGATTACCCTGTAAGGTATTTACCATCCTGAGTTTACAGAGGTGATTCTTTTATCTTTTTCTTTCATTAAAATTCTTCTTTTAAGAACCTGATTGCTTTTTCATTGTTCTGAAGATCCAAGGGTTTGGGTCTGTGTTCACTGAGGCAAATTGGTGAGGATTTTTATCAAGCCTTCCCCAGGAAAGGGGGTGTAGGGCTTGGGGGGATATTCTGATGAAGTGAGCTGTGGCTCACGAAAGCTCATGCTCAAATAAATTGGTTAGTCTCTAAGGTGCCACAAGTACTCCTTTTCATTTTGGGGGAAGACGTCTCCAAGTGGGCTCTTTCCCTGGTCTTTGTTTAACATACTTGGTGGTGGCAGCGTAGGGTTCAAGGCCAAGGCAAAGTTTGTACCTTGGGGAAGTTTTTAACCAAAGCTGGTAAGAATAAGCTTAGGGGGGTCTTTCATGCCATGTGGATAGCTCAGTGGTTTGAGCTTTGGCCTGCTAAACCCCGGGTTGTGAGTTCAATCCTTGAGGGGGCCGTTTAGGGATATGGGGCAAAAATTGGGGATTGGGCCTGCTTTGACCAGGGGGTTGGACTAGATGACCTCCTGAGGTCCCTTCCAACCCTGATATTCTATGATTCTATGATTCTATGCCGGTCCCCCCATCTGTACTCCAGAGTTCAGAGTGGGGAAGGAACCTTGACAGCCCTGCAAGCTCTTCCCACCCGGCAGTACTGAGCCCTGCGGCCATGCTTCACCCCCAGGGACCCGGCGGGAGGCAGCGTCGCCCTTGGGGTGGGAGGTCAGAAGGGCCCATTCGCTCACCCAGGTGACAGCCCAGGGCCCCGCACGCAGCTACCCAGCGCAGCCTGAGCTCCTCCCTGGCCTGGGCGCTTCACAGCTTGTGGGTGTCGCTGGTCAGGCGGGGCCTGAGGCAGAGCTTGGTGGGGTCCCCTCACTTAGTGGGGTGAATGAGTGCCCCCTGCTGCCTCTTCACCGTGAGCCCTGGGTGGGGCAGGCCAGCCTCCCGGCCTCACCACCAGAGCGGGTCCCAGGTACCCTCGCTTGCGGCTGGGGCATTTGCGCAGCATCAGCACCTGTGATTTGGTCTGCAGACAGACAGCCCTAGCCCTGAGACCCCCCCCGTCCCGACCATCCTGGGCCCCAGGAAGACCCCAGCCCCAGAGTGCCCCTGCCCTGAGACCCCCCCCGACCACCCTGGGCCCCAGGAAGACCCCAGCCCCAGAATGCCCCTGCCCTGAGACCCCCCCGACCATCCTGGCCCCAGTGAGACCCCAGGCCCAGAGTGCCCCAGCCCTGACCATCCCCATGACAGCTGACGAGCAGGGTGGAGCTGGGGGCAGCAAGCCCTTTCATCCTGCCATCTGGTGCAGTGAGAGCTGCTGTGGGCCCCCCCATCCAGGGTCCCGGCCGCGCTGGGGCTCTCTGACAAGCTGTGGGGGTCACACTCCCCCTAGGCCAGCTCTCCGTGCGTCACGGGGGAGCCTTGCCGTGGGGTTAACGGCCAGGCTGGGAGCACACGGCAGCTCACACAGGCGCCGAGCAGCTCCGGGCTGGACCGTTGGGCTGTGCCCGGAGTCGGTGCTCAGCCTCCAGGCTGGCAGCACACAGGGCTGCTCCCAGGGTATTGCCCCCACCTGGCTCGCTCGCTCTGTCCCCCCTCCATCCCTCGTGCGTGGTGCTCCCCAGCCCAGAGATCTGCCCCACGTCCGACCTCCACACGTGCAGAGCCAAGTCCCTTTATTGGTGGCTGCCCCGGGGCGGGCCTCACGCCTTCTTGCCGCTCTGCTTGGCTGGGCTTCGCAGTCCTGGGGAGGGAAAAGGCAGATCGTGTGAGGACGGGGCAGGGAGCTCCCCCAGCAGGGCCTGGGGGGCAGAGCTGTGCCCCGGGTGTCCCGTCAGGACGGTGTTCCGCAGCTCAGGCATCTCGGCAAAGGGCAAGTAGGCTTCTCCTGGGGGTAGAAGAGAGAGGCAGGCATGGGACGGAGGCCACAGGCTGGGGGTAACACAGGGAGGATGGGGGCCCTGGAGAGGGCCAGAGGCATGGAATGGGGGCTACAGGGCATGGGGGTAACAGCAAGGGGCGGGGGCCATGGCAGTGGGGGTAGCATGAGGAGGAATGGGGAGTCATGGGGAGGGGCAGCAGGCACGGCGTGGAGGGGAAAGACAGGGACATGGGACGGGGGCCACGGGGCATCAGGGTAACTCGGGAGGGGGAGGTGGTAACAGGTAGGGTTGCCAGGTGCCCAGTGTCTGGTCAAAAAGGGACCCGAGCAGTATCCGGTCAGATGTACGGACCGGACACCAATAGTCCAGTTACTGCTGGTGTGGGAGGAGCCAGGTCATCAACCCACCCCAGCCCCTGTCAGCCGGGACCACCTCAGATCAGAGCAACGGGCCCGTCCGGCCCAGGGTCATCCCCCCCACCCAGATCAGACCAATGGGCCCCTTGTGACGAAGTGGGACTGTTCTTAACGTTTCCTCTGAATAGTGTGGGGGTGCCTCAGTTTCCCCTAGGCAGTTCTTAAGTATCTAGGGGGTGGAGTAAGGGTGTATGATCATTGCAGAGCCCTAGAGGGCAGGTGTGTGCAGGGATCCGGACACAGAGAATGGCCGACACCCTGTTTCCTGGCAACTGATGGCCTGGGCCCTTCCCCCCTGCAAGGTGAGAGCTGAAGGGTTGGAGAACAAAGGAATCAGGTGACCACCTGGCCCAGGAAAGGAACAAAGCCCAGAGGAGGAGGGGCTGGAGGGAGTTTCAGTTGGGGGCTGGCTGGGACATGGAGTGAAGGGCAGACATGGTTGTCTGACTCACTGCCCCCCAAAATGGACCCAGCTGAGGGGTCCCGTTCTCTGCACCTGCAAGCTCTGTTTTAGACCATGTTCCTGTCGTCTAATAAACCTTCTGTTTTACTGGCTGGCTGAGAGTCCCGTCTGACTGCGGAGTTGGGGGGCAGGACCCTCTGGCTTCCCCAGGAGCCCCGCCTGAGCGGACTCGCTGGAGGGAAGCGCACGGAGGGGCAGAGGATGCTGAATGCTCCGAGGTCAGACCCAGGAAGGTGGAAGCTGTGTGAGCTGCGTGTCCTGAAGACAGGCTGCTCACAGAAAGGCGACTGCCCCAGAGTCCTGACTGGCTTCATGGGGAGCAGTTCCAGAACATCGCCCAGGGACTCCGTGACACCCCTCCAGCCCAGGGTCCCCCCAGATCAGACCAATGGGCTCATCTAGCCCAGGGGTTCCCACCCCCAGAACAGATCAATGGTCCCACCCAGCCCAGTGTTCTCCCACCCCCCCAAACAGCCCAATGGGTCCATCCTGGCCCCACAGGAGGGGCGCCCAGCTCTCTGAGCTTGGCCAGGGGGGTTCAGGGGAAGGTGGGAGGTGGCGGGAGTGGGGGGTGGTGTGGGGCTGAGGACACGGGGTGGGGCCCCAGTCTGGAGCTGAGCTTTGTAGAGTGTGTGTGACACGGGGATGGTGCCCCACAGAACTACACAATGCCCCATGTGGACGCTCTGACTCTGGCGTGAGTGGCCTTCTTCCGGCTTAGCTTCAATCCCTCCCAAAGGGACATCAGAGAAAGCCAGGGCAGAGGATGTAGGAAAACGCTGTATTAATTTTATGGACAATATAAGTGTGCCTCAGTTTCCCCACTCACTCTGTACGGTAACCCTCTGGGAGTGAAGGGGTAAATTTATTTCCTGGGACAGGGACAGGGTAGGAGGCAGTCGGCCAGCTGAGTTGGGGAATGGTGTTTCCTTGACGACAGAAAGGATTCCCCTCACTGGCTGGGAACTCCTGGTGGCCAGTGGCCCTGGGGCGTGGCACACTCCAATGCCATGGGAGGGCTGATGAAGCAGGATTTTTGGGTAATATTTTTATGAAGCCAATGTGTGCCTCAGTTTCCCTCTCTACGTTATATTGTTACTCAGTGGGAATAAAAGGGTTAACGCTGCCCCTGGCCCAGCACGGGGGACACGGGGCAGGGGGGTCGCCTGCTGTTGGGGTGCAATGAATCGGGTCCTTACGGAACCGGCTGGTATGACGATGTGACGCAGCAGGGAGGGGGAAGTGTTGACCTGGGAATGTGCCCTGGGGATGGGAGATCTGAAAGCCTGTCACCTGAGCCAGGAGAGGGAGGGGGAGGTGACACCTCTGCCCAGGAATGTGAACAGAGGCTGCAGGAGAGAGCCTGCTGCGGAGGTTTAGTTTTCAGTTTGGGGCTGAGTGGAGGAACACAGGGAACCCCAGGGCTGGGGTCTAAGCTCCCTGCTCCCCCAGAAGGATTTGACTGAGGGGTCGTGGGTGTACCCACAAGCTCTGTTTTGGACTGTGTTCCTGTTGTGCAATAAACCTTCTGTTTTACTGGCTGGCTGAGAGTCACGGTGAATGCCAGGAAGGGGGGGTGCAGGGCCTGGACTCCCCCACACTCCGTGACAACTGGTGGCAGTGGTGGGATGTACTGCACCCCGTGAACGACGCTTCCTGCAGTAAGTGACTGGGGAACAGTAAAACAAAGGGGGATTGACAGGGAGCAGGTGTGCTGAAGATTCAGAGAGAGACAGTTTCAGGGGGCGGTTAACCCCTGGGAGTGTGTGACCAGAGAGAAGGACTTTTGCAGTAACAGGGTCCCCCGGGGGATTGCAGCGAGCAGTCCCAGGGGCGGAGGAGTCTGCAGCTCGACCCTAGCAAAGAGGTGGTGACCTCAAGAAGGACTGGCACACTAGGGGCTTTTCCTGGAAACCGTGGAAAGCTGCCCGGCCTGCGAGTGGCCAGCAGGGAGATGTACGCTAAACGCCTTAAGAGTGACCTGGTGGAGCTGTGCAGGCAGAGGGGGCTGCGCATCGGGAGGTCCACCAAGGAACAGCTGATTGCCCAGTTGGAGGAGAGGGATCGCTTGGATGACCCGATCCCTGTCCCCGAGGGAAGCCGCCCGGTGGACGCAGCGTGGGCCCTGGGGCCTGACCGGGCTGGGAGGGGTCAGACTGCTGCCGAGGACATAGAATCATAGAATCATAGAACATCAGGGTTGGAAGGGACCCCAGAAGGTCATCTAGTCCAACCCCCTGCTCGAAGCAGGACCAATTCCCAGTTAAATCATCCCAGCTAGGGCTTTGTCAAGCCTGACCTTAAAAACCTCTAAGGAAGGAGATTCTACCACCTCCCTAGGTAACGCATTCCAGTGTTTCACCACCCTCCTAATGAAAAAGTTTTTCCTAATATCCAATCTAAACCTCCCCCACTGCAACTTGAGACCATTACTCCTCGTTCTGTCATCTGCTACCATTGAGAACAGTCGAGAGCCATCCTCTTTGGAACCCACTTTCAGGTAGTTGAAAGCAGCTATCAAATCCCCCCTCATTCTTCTCTTCTGCAGACTAAACAATCCCAGCTCCCTCAGCCTCTCCTCATAAGTCATGTGTTCTAGACCCCTAATCATTTTTGTTGCCCTTCGCTGGACTCTCTCCAATTTATCCACATCCTTCTTGTAGTGTGGGGCCCAAAACTGGACACAGTACCCCAGATGAGGGCTCACCAATGTCGAATAGAGGGGAACGATCACGTCCCTCGATCTGCTGGCAATGCCCCTACTTATACATCCCAAAATGCCATTGGCCTTCTTGGCAACAAGGGCACACTGCTGACTCCTATCCAGCTTCTCGTCCAGTGTCACCCTTAGGTCCTTTTCCGCAGAACTGCTGCCTAGCCATTCGGCCCCTAGTCTGTAGCGGTGCATTGGATTCTTCCGTCCTAAGTGCAGGACCCTGCACTTATCCTTATTGAACCTCATCAGATTTCTTTTGGCCCAATCCTCCAATTTGTCTAGGTCCTTCTGTATCCTATCCCTCCCCTCCAGCGTATCTACCACTCCTCCCAGTTTAGTATCATCCGCAAATTTGCTGAGAGTGCAATCTACACCATCCTCCAGATCATTTATGAAGATATTGAACAAAACTGGCCCCAGGACCGACCCTTGGGGCACTCCACTTGATACCGGCTGCCAACTAGACATGGAGCCATTGATCACTACCTGTTGAGCCCGACAATCTAGCCAGCTTTCTACCCACCTTATAGTGCATTCATCCAGCCCATACTTCCTTAACTTGCTGACAAGAATACTGTGGGAGACAGTGTCAAAAGCTTTGCTAAAGTCAAGAAACAATACATCCACTGCTTTCCCTTCATCCACAGAACCAGTAATCTCATCATAAAGGGCGATTAGATTAGTCAGGCATGACCTTCCCTTGGTGAATCCATGCTGATTGTTCCTGATCACTTTCCTCTCATGCAAGTGCTTCAGGATTGATTCTTTGAGGACCTGCTCCTGGTCCATCCCGAGACCCTTCCTACCTAGGCCTGGGGGAGGGGTTGGGGGAAGCCCAGTGAATACCGAGGGCTCCCTGACCCCGGCAGCCAGCAGGGGATCCTCCCGGCAGAGCTCCCCATCCCCAGAGCGGATGCGGCTGGAATGGGAGAGGGAGATGAAAATGAGGGAGCTGGAGGATCATGAAAAACAACGTCAACATGAAGAGAAACAACGTCAACATGAGCAGGAGGAGAAGGAGAGGGAGCGTCAGGAGAAGGAGAAACAAAGACAGCATGAACTGGAGCTGGCCAGGCTGAGGAGCAGTGGGGCCCCGGCTGTGGTGAGTGCGGGGGGACCCAAGACTGCAAGGAGCTTTGATAAGTGCTTCCTGGCCCAGCGGAAGGAGGGGGAGGACATAGATAGCTTCCTGACGGCCTTTGAGAATGCCTGCGAGATACACAGCATTGACCCTGCAGACCGGCTCCAGTTCCTCACCCCCTTACTGGACCCCAAAGCCGTGGAGGTGTACAGCCGGATGACAGGGGCGGAGGCAGGGGACTATGAACTGTTCAAACAGGCCCTGCTCCGTGAGTTTGGGCTGACCCCCGAGATGTACCGGAGAAGGTTCCGGAGTCAGAGTAAAACGGCTGAGGTCACCTACCTACAACTGGCCAACCGGATGCAGGGGTATGCCCGCAAGTGGACAGCTGGGGCCTGAGCTAAAGAGGACCTGCTTGACCTAATCGTACTGGAGCAACTGTGTGAACAGTGCCCTTCCGACCTGAGGCTGTGGTTGGTGGACAAAAAGCTCGAGAACCCCCAGCACGCAGGGCAGCTGGCCGACGAGTTTGTGAACAGTCGGTCAGGGGGTAGCTAGGAGGAGTCCCAAAACAACAGGCCCCCCCCCAATGCAGAGAGAGAGTCACCATGAGGCCTCCCAGCGGGGAAATAGGGAAAACCCCCTCCCAAGGGGAACGCCTGGCGTCGGGCCCCTCCGACCCGCTCGATGGGACCAACGTGACCTGAGCTGCTATCACTGTGGCCAGAGGGGCCACGTACGGACCCAGTGCCCCGGGCTCAGGGACAAACTGAGCAGACCCAACCTACCCAGGGTTAACTGGGTAGGGACCCAGCTGGACGAGGGGCAGACGACCCAGGCAAGGGGGTGTCACGGAGTGTGGGGGAGTCCAGGCCCTGCACCCCTCTTCCTGGGATTCACTGAGACTCTCAGCCAGCCAGTAAAACAGAAGGTTTATTGGACAACAGGAACACAGTCCAAAACAGAGCTTGTGGGTACACCCAGGACCCCTCAGTCAAGTCCTTCTGGGGGAGCAGGGAGCTTAGACCCCAGTCCTGGGGTTCCCTGTGTTCCTCCACCCAGCCCCAAACTGAAAACTAAACCCACCCAGCAGGTTCCCTGCTGCAGCCTCCGTCCACATTCCCGGGCAGAGGTGTTACCTCCCCCTGCCCCTCCTGGCTCAGGTGACAGGCTCTCAGGTCTCCCATCCCCAGGGCACATTCCCAGGTCAACACTCCCCCCTCCCTGCTGCGTCACATCGTCACAGGGGGGCTGACAGCTTACCACCTGCTCAGGAGGGAAGAGTACCCCAGGCAGAGGCTGGAGGCTCTGGACTCAGGGTGCTCGGTTTACAGGGTGGGCGCGGGGCTGTCCCTCCGGAGAGAGTGCCTTGTTCCCCTGGAGGTGGATGGGAGGAAGGTCAATGGATACTGGGATACGGGCGCGGAGGTGACGCTGGCCCGGCCCGAGGTGGTGGCCCCAGATCGGGTGGTGCCCAACACCTATCTGACCCTGACAGGGGTGGGCGGGACCCCATTTAAGGTGCCTGTGGCAAGGGTACACCTGAAATGGGGGGCCAAGGAGGGCCCCAAGGACATGGGCGTGCACCACCATTTGCCCACTGAAGTTTTGATGGGGGGAGACCTAGAGGACTGGCCAAGCAAGCCCCAGACCGCCCTGGTTGTGACCCGTAGCCAGATCCGGCAAGGGGCACTGCGCCCTGACCTCGGGGAGGGTACCGCACCGGAGGCGCAGGACCCTACCCTGGTGGGGAGGGAGCACTGAGGGGCACGGCTCAGAGAGGCTGAGGCCTCAGACCTGGCCACTGAGGGGGAACCGGGCCCCATCCCTTCCCCAGCCGCTGAGTTCCAGGCCGAGTTGAGGAAAGATCCCTCCTTGCGGAAGCTCAGGGACCTGGCCGACCTCGGTGTGGGACGGACCATGAGGAGAGGCTGCCAGGAGAGGTTCCTGTGGGAGAAGGGGTTCCTGTACCGAGAATGGGCTCCCACAAGGGAAGTAGAGTCCTGTGGGATCAGGAGGCAGCTGGTGGTCCCCCAGAAGTATCGCCGCAAGCTCCTGGCCCTGGCCCATGACATCCCCCTCGCAGGGCACCAGGGAATCCGGCGCACCCGGCAGAGGTTGCTACAGAACTTTTACTGGCCCGGGGTCTTTACCACGGTCCGGCAGTATTGCCGATCCTGTGACCCCTGTCAGAGGGTGGGGAAGGCCTGGGACAAGGGGAAAGCAGCTTTGAGACCTTTGCCCATCATAGAGGAGACTTTCCAGAAGGTGGCCATGGACATTGTTGGGCCTCTCAGCAAGACGACCCGGTCGGGGAAGAAATACATTCTGGGGGTGGTAGATTTCACCACCCGCTACCCCGAGGCAGTGCCCTTAGCTTCCATTGAAGCAGACACCATGGCCGATGCGCTCCTGACCATTTTCAGCCGAGTGGGGTTCCCCAAGGAAGTCTTGACAGACCAAGGCTCCAACTTCATGTCGGCCCTGCTCCGGTGCTTGTGGGAGAAATGTGGGGTCCGGCACGACTGGGCCTCAGCTTATCACCCCCAGTCCAATGGGATGGTGGAGAGGTTTAACGGGACGCTAAAGATGATGCTGAAAACCTTTATGAACCAGCACCCGCAGGATTGGGATAAGTACTTACCTCACCTGCTGTTCGCGTACAGGGAGATGCCCCAGGAGTCGATCGGATTTTCGCCTGTCGAACTATTATATGGAAGGAGGGTGAGGGGCCCCCGGACCTGATGACAGACGAATGGGAGGGGAAGGCCACTCCCGATGGAGAGTCAGTGGTGGAGTATGTCCTGATCTTCCGAGAGAGACTGGCTGAACTCATGGGCCTGGCCAGGGAGAATCTGGCCAGAGCCCAGAGGAAGCAGAAGGTCTGGTATGACCACACGGCGCGGGCCCGGGCCTACGCCACCGGGGATCAGGTGATGGTTCTCATCCCTGTGAGAAAGAACAAACTACAGGCCGCCTGGGAGGGCCCTTTCAAGGTCGTCAAGCAGCTCAATGAAGTAAACTATGTGGTGGAGCTGTCGAACCGGGCGCACCACCGCCGGGTGTACCATGTGAATATGATGAAGCCATATTATGCCAGGGGGAAGGTGGTGTTGGCCGTGTGTGGACAGTGGGAGGAGCAGGGAGATGACCCTTTAGTAGATCTATTCCCTGGGACCAGAGCTGGTTCCCCCCTGGAAACAATTCCCCTCTCGGATCAGCTAA